GCTGTCTGCTCTGTGATACAGAGTCCTGATGACTCCTAACTTGTGCTCCAAAGGGTGATGGGAGTCAAACTGCAAATACTGGTCTGTGTGGGTGGGTTTGCGGTACACCTCGGTTTGCAAATGTCCTGTATCAGAGACTGAGACCTCACAGTCCAAGAAAGCCAACTTGCCATTTTTTACATCTTCTCGTGTGAACTTGATGTATTTATCCACAGAGTTGATGTGGTCAGTAAAATGTTGGACTTCCTGAGATTTAATTTTAACCCAGGTGTCGTCAACATACCTGAACCAATGACTTGGTGGTGTCCCTGAAAAGGACGTCAAGGCTCTCTTTTCTACCTCCTCCATGTACAGGTTGGCAACAATAGGAGAAACTGGAGACCCCATAGCACACCCATGTTTCTGCCTATAATACTGCTCCCCATATGTGAAGCAGGTTGACTGCAGGCACAGTTTCAAGAGTTGACACAGTTGTTCTGTGGAAAGCGTGGTCCTGCTGCTCAGAGTGGTGTCTGATTTTAATTTTAAACTGACCACCTCTACTGCATCATCAACAGGAATGCACGTAAAGAGTGATGTGACATCAAAAGAGACCATTGTTTCATCAGTCTCCATGATGACATCCCTCACCTTATCCACAAAGTCCATGGTGTTTTGTATGTGGTGTTCTGAGCTGCCAACTAAAGGGATGAGTACAGACGCCAGATATTTGGAAACATTTTAAGTGACAGAGTTAATCATGCTAACAATAGGTCTTAAAGGTACACCTTGTTTGTGGATTTTAGGTAAACCATACAGACTAGGTGTGGCCTCCCCTGGGTACAGTCTGTGGTACAGAATACGGTCAATAGCCTTGTCCTGCTCCAAAATTTTCAGGCAATCTATCAACTTCTTTTTGTGTGACCTCTTGTAACCTCAGTGTCAGGAGGGCTGTGATCAGTCTTACATCGGGGAAACTAAACAGCCACTGGCCAAAAGGATGGCCCAGCACAGAAGATCAACATCATCAGGCCAGGACTCTGCGGTCTACACTCATCTCCAGGCCAGCGGTCACTCTTTCAGGGATGAAGATGTTCACATCCTGGATAGAGAGGAACGACGGTTTGAGAGAGGAGTAAAGGAAGCCATCTTTGTGGATTTATCTGCTATAGATAAACTTTTAGGCCTGACACGTCCTCTTCTGTCCTGCACTTGTTCACTTTATAAGATCACGGTCAGAAAAGGTCCCAAGAAAAACTTCAGAAAGCCCAAGAACTACTGATGAAGACCGTAAAGATGTCTGACTTACTCAAAAGTAAACAGAACGAGCTTGAGGGTGGTTTAAAATGTTTGCACATTTGAGGCTACAGGAATTATATTTATGTATACAGTAATGCTTGTACACTCCTCTTATAAGAGTAGTAACCTTCACTGGGATGTCCTGATGCATTTTAATGCAATGCTTTTAAAATACGTGAGCTGGGTCTGGATCGACTTATTCTGTCAGGATCTGGACCAGAGTCCGGACTTTGTGAGCTCCTGAGATATACTCTCAGTTTGTAAATTTACATCCAATCGAAGTAAACTCCTGGCACATTATGGTAAACACTGACATTTTTAGAAAAACTAGTTAACAACCATCAAAACAATGTGGCTACTGAAACCAGTATACACCGTGTACAGTTAAACTAAATGAAAATGTTGCTCATAGTACAAGGTTTCCTACAATAAATGAAGAATGCCAAGTTCAAAACTCGTTATATTCAGGTGCATTTAAAAATTACACACATGATTTTGTATAATATCATAGTTGCAAAGGAATTGAACATACATTGATGCTAGGAGTGTCCCAATACTAGTTTTTTTTTCCATGTACAAGTACAGCTACTTCAGTTAGGGCACTTGCCAATACTGAGTACAGATACAGAGCAGTTAATGTGTTGGTACTTAAACATACATTGACTTTAAAAAGACGTTTCTTTTATTAAGAACACGTTAAACATTCTGCTGTCTAAACATCTGTGTTTATCTTCAAATATCTCCAACTTATGGGCTTTTTAATTTTTTTGTCCTCGGTTAGTTGCAAAGTGGAAGAGGGAAGTACATCAGCAAACATAAAAGTGGTATTCTTCTAAGTATCTGGGTGCTTTTATGAGTCCATGTACAAGTACTTGAGACGGGTATTGGGCACAATACCAATTCCAGTATTGCAGACCACTAATTGCTGCTAAATCATTAAATTGCTAATTTCAAAATGAAGACAAGTTAGACATCGGTAAAGACCCACAAAGTTGCGAGCAAATGATGCAAACATAAAACCATCAACCCCCCTCAGAATATTGTAGAGAGCACCACATGTCCACAGCAAAGACCAGTTAAACTACATTTTGTCTTAAAAACACCAGAACGATTCAAAAACATCTTCTTTAAGGTCAACAAATTTTACAAAATCCTTTTTAAATTTGAGATTCTGTTCCATCCTGCTTGTTGTCATACAATAACTTAGAAGCTAAAAAAAAAAAAAAAAAAAACTGGGACATTTTCATTTGCTGATACATATAAGATAAAATAATTTGTCTTTGCTTCTATTGCACAAAAAAAAAAAGCCCCCGGCCCTCAACAGTGTAAAAAGTTTTTTTTTTTAATATATTAGCCACAAGAATCCCTTAAAAAGCTGCACATTAAAGAGAAAATAAGGAGTGAGTTACTGTAAAGAGGTAGATACAGAGACAGCAACATCATAACAACACACTTACATTTTAACCGTGTGCCATGCATGTACTAAAAAGTCATATTTAAAAATCATGTGATGTAACTGTGATTCGTCAAAGCCCCCACTCTCAGTTTATTAAAACGCCAGAACCCACGTCACCCAATGGCATTGTGATGCAATAAGCTGAATAATCCCTGAGGTTCAGCGACGCCATTTGTCTGCAGGAGGAAAACGAGAAAACACCAGTTTCATTAGGATTTCTGTACAAGCATTAAAAACTATTACAGGTTTAGTCATTTGTCATCTCCAGGATGGTGGAGCACGTATTCATTCACCTCTGGTGGTCTCGAAGCAGTTTTCACAGTGCACCATGCGTTTGTAGACCCACATGCTGTCCCCAGCTTTCAGATTACTCAGAGAGCTGTTGCAGACTTGACACTGCCAAAACACAAACAGATGTTCGATCGAAGGATACATACAGATGTTGACAGCTGCTGGCTGAATGTCACCAAGCACATTTATGTAAGCATTTCTAAGCGACTATATGCTTTTGAATGAATGTTACGTGATAAATGCATCAATCTAATGCCGATGTGTGCATAATGGTAGAAAGGATCTTTATGTTTGATGTAGGCAAACCTAATTATATTCAAATTAACATTTAAAATGAGTTGGATTTTAAAGGTATTCTGTAAATTTTGTTTGGAAAACACTAAAACAGTTATTTGTTGCTAAGTGATTAAAGTCACGATGCTTACTTTAAAGCAGGCAGCGTGGCAGTTGATGCTCACGTCATCCAGGACCATCTTGGCATCTCCTGTGAAGGGCTTACGGCAGACGGTGCACAGATCCTTCTCAAGCACGGTTCTGCGTCGAAAAAAAACTTTTTAAAAAAATATTTGACGAACACAAACGCTGGTAATGTAAAGAGACATTTTCTAAAAGACCTCGACTCATCAACCACACAGTTAAACGCATCGCCGCAGGAGCTTGAAGCATTTACAAGAATATATGAGGTAACTAAGAGATAATCACAACTGCCAGATTTTAATAATAATAATCAATAATTTTACTTATTTAAACTTTTGAACTGTTTAAGACATCAAAGTTTTATGGATAAGGAAACCTAAAGGTTTTGGTGAATTTTGCTTTCGAGTGAGTTTTGCTGATTTTCTCATGCTGCTGTATTCAGTCATAACCATCTACTCACTACAGCCTCATGTTCGGGCTGCTGTTTAATATACCATATTATTTTACATTATTAGCACTTAACATATATCTTGGTGTATACCTTAGATCTTTAAATACTGTTTCTTTTTATACTTTATATTTTTGCTATTGTTGGATGTAACTGGGACCCTGTGTACACAAATTCGTTCCACCTCATGTACCACATGTGATGCGAATGACGATAAAGAACCTTGACCTTGAATTAGACATGCTTTGATGGCTCCTTCATCCTTATCATGTCACAGTTTCAGTCGGGCTTGTGTTTGTTTACTCGCTTGTTGAATGCCAACATGCTAACCAAAGTTGATGAGCGTGGAAAACTCAAAGGAACTGATTTCCATCAGCATGTTAGCATGTCATTGTAAGCATATGGACATGCTGACATTAGCACTGATCTCAAGTCAGGGCTGAGTTGACAGGTTGACTGAGGTACAGGTATTCACACTGTTGTTGTCCTCTTACCTTTCAGGAGTTTGATAAAGGCTCTTGTTGGAAGACTTGGAGTAGATCGAATCTGTCTGACTATCATCTGACCAGCTGTGAGAGTGACAGAGTTGTTTTAGCTTCACGTATGATTGATGCATGTTGAATCAAAATGTGTATGATCATCTCATACCTGCTCTTGTACGAAGGTGAGCTATGCAGAGATGAACTGGTGATACTGGTGTACTCATAACTGCTAAAGGCAAAACCAGAGAGCAAAAGTTACATTTATGTCCAATTTATTGTGTATTACTGCACGTAAGGGTCTTAGTTCTCTCTCTCTCTTGTACCTGGAGTCTGGTCTTGAGTATGAGTAGGTTTTACTGTAGCTGTCGCTGAGTGAACAAACAGAAACAATTAGCGACAGCAGAAAACCACAACTACAGTTTCTGACAATAGATGTTAGCTGACAGTTTTACCTGTACGAGTTGGTGCGGGTGGACGGAATATCATCAGTGTACGAGCTGTAACTGAGCATGAAAGAGGCAAATAATTAGCTTAAATATAGTGATGGAGCTTATTTAGCTTTCAATCAATCAATCAATTCAACTTTATTGTCCATAACATTCAATTAAATGGAGATTTGTCTTTGACATCTGGCTTATAAAAACAACATAAGATAAAAATGTGATTAAAAAACTTTAAAACCAAGCTTTGCTAAATCAATTTAAAACATTCAGTTAAAACCATTCTAAAATACACGATACATTAGAATATGAAAACATCTCAGCAGACAGTGGTTTGTTATGTGAGACTGCGTTTAAATAGGACCTTGTTAAGTACATTCACCGCAGAGGGAACAAATGACTTTTTGTACCCATTTTTCTTCACCAGTGGAACCAGCAGTTTTCTACCAGATGGTACCAACCTGAATAATGGTTGCAGTGAATGAGTTGGGTCATTGTAAACCTGTATTGCTTTTTTTCCCCAGAACCTGACTGTACAGGTCTGTGAGTGTCATTTGTTGATGACCAGTGACTTTACTACCTTGTTTGACTTGTGAAATACAGTATAGTATAGTTGTAGTATTAGCAGTTTAGTATTATAGTAAAGGCTTAATTTAGGTGGTAACTTTTAGTGGTTTGCAGCTTCATGATTTGTTAACTTTTTGTAATTTTATAATTTCTTTTCTTTTTTCTTTCTGCTGCTCCCTTCTTCAGGAGTCGACACAGCGAACTAAGTCGCACAAATACTTGGCGATTATTCTTTTTACGCCGGAAGTCCTTCCTGACACATTCACAGATGATCAAGCTACCACAGCCCTCTGTGTGGAGCAGAGAGCTGCTGTCTAGGTCACCCAGGGGAGAAGATGGTGGGGGTTAAAGGCCTTGCTCAAGGGCTCAGAGTGGGGCAAATGAGGGTGGAGACAAGTGTGGGTGCTTCACTTATCCCACCCACATTTTTGATGTTGTCAGTACCATGAGGTGAACCGGCAATCTTCCTATCATAGGCCCACATTCTCGAACCTCTGTGCCACCACACCTCATTTAGTTTTATAAATATGGTTCAGAAATGTTACCTTGGGTGCACTGTTTATATAAAGTGCTGAAGTGTTTTAGAAAAAGTTAACAAATCACGAAGCTGCAAACCACTAAAAGTTACCACCTAACTTATACCTATACTATAATACTAAACCTCTAATACTACAACTATACTACACTGTATTTCTAAACATCTAATACTGCAACTATACTATACTGTATTACTAAACCTCTGATACTACAACTATACTA